AGAGAGAGAGAGAGAGAGAGAGAGAGAGAGAGAGAGAGAGAAAGAGAGAGAAAGAGAGAAATATTTCTTTCCTTCTTGCCCTCACATTCTACCTGAGAGTTGCTGATGGTGAGTTTTTGACATAGAATAGAAACGAAAAAAACCGACAAGAGACACGATAACGACAGCATTTTATTCTGATGATGACAACTATCATTATTATTATTATCCTCAGGTGAAATTTAACTGCGAGTCTATCCGATCACGGCCAAGCTCCACCGACAAGAAAGATCCAGATAATAAATAGTAAAGTTTTTCAAAAGCAGAAGTAGCAGCAGCAGCAGAGATTGAAAAATCTGCACTGACCTAGCACTCTGTAACCCTCATGAAGGTGAGAGTGACATTTCAACAAAGCTTTGATTTAACCATGAGCTATTGGTCAGTTGCAAAAAGCATCTGGTCCCCAATATTCTGTCTCCCATTTATAACAATATCCCTATGTCTCTTTATATATTAAAAACAAATTTACAAATTACTACGTTTCTCTCATTGCAACATCTTTTATTTTTATTTTTTCATTTTGTGAAACATTTCTTTTTCCAAACCCGATATGCTATTTCCTATTTCTATGCTTCCTGGAAGGAAAGTTGGGGGGGAATAGTGAGAGAAAAAAATATTAAAGAACAATTTTTTTTCTTCCACCTGTCAGAATTCTTTGAAAAAGAGCTGTGAGAAAGATATATATCTTTTTTCTCTCTATCCTCCCTCAGCAAGCTCTACGACCACACACCATAGCGAGAGAATATCTACTGACAGACAGACAGGGTTTGCTGACAGCTAAAGTGCTCTACATTTGGTTCCATTTCTCGGAAGATTTTCACCCTCCTTTCATAGTAGTTTGGCTAGCTCAGAGGAACAGATCTGCCCTCAGATCAGAGGAACAGATCTGCCCTCAGATCAGAGGAACAGATCTGCCCTCAGATCAGAGGAACAGATCTGCCCTCAGATCAGCTTGCAATGTTTGCTTCTCCCTACAATATTAGGCTGTTTCTAGGACCAGCTAAAACCTCACAGAACATATGACTGACTTCACTCCAGAAAACGGGACAAAAACCCTAAGGAATCTCATTGCTAAAACAAACCGACAAAGGTGTTGATAAAAACCATTCTTTATCATCTCATCTCGTGTCAATAAAAATATTCATATTCATTTACATAAATATCTTGTGTACCTGAAAAACAAAGTGCTTCGAGTCCAATTTGACTGTTCATTTCTGGCAATAAAGAAAAACGATAATACGATTTCTAGATTTCACAAATCTTTGTCGTATGCAACTTCACAAATTTTTCTCGTATGCAACTTATTCACTGAAATTCTTATGTCACCTAATTTGTTAAGTACATTACACCCACCATCAAAAAATTGATTTCGCTTTTTTCTTAGCATTTGGCCTGGGGAGCGGAGTAACAAAGTAAGGTGTATAAAAGACAACCATCAAATAATTTAAAAAATATTCCAAAACTAAATAGCCAAGAAACGTAGACAGTGTTTCTTTGCTGTTCACAGCCGTCGAGTCAAAAGTGTGACCCCAGTAGACATCACTAACCTGAGAATTGCCCCTACCCTTCACCCACAACCAGAACCATCAGATCTCAAGTCTTGATGGTGGTGTATATAAAATAAATTACCGATTTCCAACTGCCGTCAGACAAACTGCTATATGCCATGATCCAAAGCCACAAAGAGCCGTGTTCTTTTCAGAAGCATCTTATTTTTGACGGTACTGTAGAGAAAACACCGTTCTTTATAACGATACATTTTGCAGGATCACTCCACTGCCATGTTTTAACTCCAAATCTCATTTGATGCGAATGGTGTCACGCTGTGGCAATTTTGTCATGGTCTCATCAAAATAGATCTCGTACAACATCATTTATTAGAACTATCACATCTCAACTGTTGGTAGGAATAAAGTAAGTCTTGCACACTTAGAGACTGAGATGATGAAAAATATTTCACCAAGGAGTTCCAGATCCTTAAATACTTATTTCTCCGAGCCTAGCAACCAGATATCTGCGTAATTATTCAGCTGATAATTTTTCGATTATTCGGTTTAAAAAAGTTGTCATTACAAAATGCAGTAAGCAGGAAGCGACAACAGGAATAAAAAAAGTTGGCTTCAGTTGGACAAAAATGTTTTTTTTTTTCCCCAGCACAGCCTCTCGTTTGCCTCACAAGTCTTAAAAAGGGCACCATGTAATTAGGGTCAGCCACGAGGAGCAAAGCAAGAGAAAGCTCAACTTAGCAAAGAAATATGGTCGCTTTTAAGCACAAGGGGACTATCCCGAAAAATGCTGTTTTGAGAAAATCGAAGGTTAAGTTTTTGCCCCTTGTTCAGTTTCTTTAAAAGATAAAGAGAGTTTTCTCTATAACCCAACAAATATACACACCAATGAAACAAAACTTCTCCAATATGTTGGGCAATGCCCACTTTAGGTGTAGGTCAAGATTTCTTGTCCTTAAAAGCGACCATATGTATCTGAACCTCTTTAACGCCACCATAACTTGCACCTTACCAAGACACAAACTAAACATTCTGAAACATTTGCAGATCTGGCATAGAATTAAAGATATATAAAATTCTGAAACCAGATCTAAAAAGAAAAATACATCATCATGGGGGGGGAAAAAAGAATAAGAATAGGAAAAGACGGCTTGCAAAGACTTTCTGGCCAAAAGTAAATCTCTCCCCTCCCTCGCCATTTTGACATCAATAACCCGCCTCACAGGATCCAACATCATCACAGAACTTTAGAAA